GGGGTGCTGGGGACACAGAGGGGACCGCCATCCGCTCCCCCTTCACAGAATCCCTAAGATGTTCTTTGGGTTCCTGCTGCTTTTTTAATTATTATTGTGGTAAAATATATATAACATTTTAACCATTTTTTTAAAGCATCTTTTTTTTTTTTTTTTGGTGAGGAAGATGGGCCCTGAGCTAAAAGCTGTTGCCAACCTTCCTCTTTTTTTTTTCTCTCCCCAAAGTCCAGCACATAGTTGTATATCCTAGTTGTAAGTCATTCTAATTCTGCTATGTGGGACGCCGCCACAGCATGGCTTGATGAGCAGTGCTAGGTCCACGCCCAGGATCTGAACTGGGGAACCCCAGGCTGCCAAAGCGGAGTGCGCAAACTGAACCACTCAACCACGGGGCTGGCCCCTTAACCATTTTTAAGTGCACAGTTCAGTGGCATTAATTACACTCATGGTATTGGGCAACCACCGCCTTTATTTCTAAAACATTTACATTACCCCAAACAGAAATTCTGTTCTCAGGAAGCACTTCCTCCTCGTTCCCCGCCCCCAGCCCCTGGAAACCTCTAATCTGCTTCCTTCTCTTTGAATTTGCCTGTTCTGGACATTTCCTACAAACAGACCATACACTATGTGGCCTTTCGTGACTGGCTTCTTTCACTGAGCATCACGTCTTCGGGGTCCGTCGTGCTGTAGCGTGTGTCGGGGCTTCATCCCTTTTTACGGCTGAACACTGTTCCACTGTGTGGACAGACTTCCATTTGTTACCCACTCTGAGCTTATGGACATTTGGGCTCCTGCCGCCTTTGGCAGTCGTGACCAGCGCTGCTGTGGACAGCCACAGAGCTTCGCTCTGCGCTCCCAGATTATAACCATGCAGGCCCTGGAGGCCTCTCCGTGCTCGTTTCCATCTGGAATTAATTTCAGGACTGGAACCTCAGATGAGGAAGCCAGGCTCAGAGAAGAGAAAGTGATGTGCCCGAGGTCACCCCCAAAGTCACCCTATTCGTTTCCTTTTCCTTCCCTCCGTCCACCCGCCCATCCAGCCAGCCATACCCCCATTCTTACACTGTTTCTGAGGGCCTGTGATGTGCCAGGCTCTGTGCTGGACACTAGGAGATGGCCACGCCTATGGCCGGGCAGGCAGGCATGCCAGTTCTCCTCTCTCCTGCCCCCAGGTAGGTAGGACCCACGTGCTCTTGGCCATGGACACTTCAGGGCCCACTGCGCAGCCCCCGCCCCTCCAGATGAAGGCATCTTAGTGGTCCTGATGATGGTGCCCTCCAGGGGGGTAGTGTCACATCTTTGAGGAGCAAGGAAAGCCCCCAGGGCTCGGAGAGTGTAGTGGTAGCTTCAGCCGTCGCTGGCTGGACTGGCACGTGGTGCGTGACTCCCCACTGGGGCCTCCATTTCCTCGTCTGGGAAATGTCTGTCGTCAGAGTTGCCGGTTGCAAGCAACAGACGCTGACTATGTTCATTCCCAGAAGCAGGCTTTTCAAGGGTCCTCGGGTTGCTGTAACAAAGGACCACAAACTGGGGGCTCCAAGAACTGAAATACATCCTCTCGCAGCTCTGGAGGCCAGAAGTGGGAAACCAAGGTGTCAGTGGGAGGCTGGCTGAGGGAGGATCCGGTCTGTGCCTCGCTCCAAGCTTCTGCTGACTCCGGCCACCCCGAGTGCCCCTTGGCTTGTTGTACATCACTGCCATCTCTGCCTCTGTCTCCACGTGGTCTTCTCCCTGTGTGTCTCTGCTCTGTGTCTTGTCCTCTTTTTATAAACTCACCATACCAAGCACAGCGAACGCTTGGCCTGACACGCCTTAAGCCCTCAGGAAAGAATTGTTCTTACGAGTTTCATCCAATGCCAGGAAAGATAAGCCAAAGGCACCAGCTCCACAGAACGGACCTCGGGCTCCCCAGGAAGGCTGTAAGACGATTCACAAGCATCCTTCTTCTGCCTCGTCCCGCCTTGTAAATATCTGGTTCTGTGTTTTGCTGTGTTTTGTTTGCAGTCGTGCACGTGTAGAGAAGGTGGCTCTGAGCCAGGCACCGAGCTGACAGCTCCGCTGAGCAGACGCTGCCGCTCGCCGGGCTGCAGATGGGAAACTGAGGCTCACGGAGGAGAAGGCCCCCAAAGGGAGCAGAAGGCAGCGTCTTCCCCTCGGGCGCTGTCTCTGAGTCCTGGGCAGTAAAAGGGGCACAGCGTCAGGCAACTGCGGAGCCCCTCTGCCCGCCCGGCGGGCAGGGGCTTGGCGACAGTGAGGAGGGAGGCGGCCGCGTGCCGGTCAAGGTGCCCCCCACCAGCTCTGCGCGCAGCTGTCGGTCGATGTCCACGGATGCACGCTCCCCCATCCCTGACTGCAAGTCAGCGACGTGACGCACTGCAGGAGGAGTCAGGGAGAGACGCTGCACAGCTCCTCGGCGCAGAGCATTTCTGCCAGGCACGTGCCACAGACGCAAAGCACAAGAGCGAGAGAACGGTGAGATGGAGTGAAATAATCAGGAAGTGACACATTCCTAGTGAGGAGTGCCTCCTTCCGTTCTTTTTAACATAAATGATATGATTATAAGTTCATGTGATTTAGTTTTTAACAAGGGCTGTGTTTAACCCTCCGAAGCAGTATAAGCTGCCTTCAGAAACTACCAGAGCCCCGGCCTCTGCTCGCCCTGACCTGCCCAACAGCCCTCAAGGGTCCAGGGCCAAGGCTGAAAGTCTGACTCGGCTTAGGGTGGGGGCCACGTGGGAAAGTCTCGCCTCTGAGTGTGTAGGGGCTCTCCCTGTTTCTCCTAAATTCCCTGTTGGACATTTGCGTGGAACGTGGAATCAGAACTGAAAGCACCCCGGAGGTCATCTGGTCATCATTTCCCAGTGAACAACCTGAGGCCCAGAGAGGGGCAGTGAGTGGCCCAAGGCTGCACAGCTCATTAGAGATGCTGCAGAGATGACATCCCGGGCTGGGTGCCCTGCCCAGCCTCCCTGTCCTCTGAGTCACAAGCCAACAGCCTGTTTTCCCCAGGGCTTTCTCCGAGGCACATTCTTGGCACAAACCTCTCCTGAGTCTAGGCGCTGGGGAGCGATGCTGATGTCTGCTGATAACTGGGGGGAGTTCTGACAGCTTGTGACTAGAAGCAACTCGGTTTCTGAAGCCCATTCAGGCCTGTGTTTTTAAAGAGACTCCCCCCACCACCCATGCACATTGCCCCCGACCCTCCCAGCCTCCCCATTCGTCCTAGCGAGGTGCCACGGCATCTGCTCCTGTGACCCTCTGGAACCACCTGGAGACAAGACCAGAGGACGTATTGGAAATCTTTCTGTGGTCCCAGCAGCAAAGTGCTCACTATGGTGAGTCCTAAATCGTCCTGTGGGGCCAGCAAAGAGCACAGAGGAGCCACACCCGAGAAGGGTCTCTCTCCCTCATTGCACACACAAGCCCTCTCCTACAGCAAGGACTGGCCCGCTCGGGGGCTCCCACACGCACCGTTTCTGCCTCCGTGCCTCAGCCCCCACGGAGTCTTCTTCCAGGAATGTCCTTCCTCCTCCTAATTCTTAATAGTTCTTTAGGATCTGACCAGAGTCTCCACCTCCTCCAGGAAGCCTTCTGTGACTACACCATCTCATGTGAGCTCTCCCTCCTCCAAACACCTATCATCATTTTACTCACTATTACTCTTTTCTACTCCCAGTGGCCTCCTGCCCAACTGTAGAATGGGTGCCCCAAGGCTAAGATTAGCCTCAGTACGGTTTCATGCACCCCACCATGCCTGGGGTCATTAAACATTCCCCTCTCCCACTTCTCTACTTGACAACCTCCTATTCATCCTTCAAAGCCCCAAGCTGAATGCCCTAACCTGGGAAAACCCTCCCCAACTCTCCTGGGGCAGAGCTGCACACGTGTTCTTCTGTGCTTGCATTGCATTTGCCCATAATTCACCCACAAGAATGTATTGGGCGCCAACTTAATGGCAGGCACCAGGCAAGCACCAAACAATTTCACAATTACTTAATTAAAAGTCACTGAGATGCACTGACCACTTGCTGTGCGTTAAGCACTTTACATATATCGAGTCATTTAATCCTCACATATATGCTGAAGTGCTGGTGTTATCTCCTAGTTGCCTCTGTGCTCCCCTGGGGAGAGGGGCTAAAATCACACCCCTCCACCCCCACTCTCTCTCCTAGTCCCCATCTTGCTTTATTTCTCTCCTTAGCACTTGTCACCAAGCACACTAGGCTTCATTTTCTTTCTCCCTCACTCTCTGCCTCTCCCACCGTTACGTGAATTCCCCAAGGCAGGAATCTGACATCCTGTCCCCACGGCCCAACATGGTGCCTGCTAAACAGCGGCCATCAAACACATTTGTTCAAAGGAACGCATCACTCCGTTTTTTTCAGATGGGATCACTGGTGCTCAGAGATGTCGAACAACTTGTCTGAAGTCACACAGCTTGTGAGCTGCGCCAGGCCAGATTCAAACCCAGACACTGGCTCACGGGCGTGTGCTTCACGTTCCTAGCTGTGTGGTGCATCCCTTCCTGCTGCCGTCCCACGTCGCCGGGGTGTCTCCCCCAGCTCGGCTGTGTCCCCCGGAGGGGCGGGAGCTGGTGTCTCCATCTTGCGCCCACAGGACCCCACACGGCGCCTGGCCCGGAGCAGTTTCCACTAAATGTTTGCCGAATGAGTAAACAACCGCATGCAAGCATCTCATATTGCAGAAGCATTTGCTTATGGATTGTCGAGACGGAACACTCCGCTTTAAGTGCTCCGGCTCTGAGATCCGGGCCGTTTGTCGGGACAAGGGACACTCTGTGGGCAAAGGGAGGTCCCCAGCCCCGCACACGTTCGGCGCGCTCTTTCCCTCCAGGCACGGAGCCTTGGAGGGCGAGGGGTCCACCTCCCCCCACCCTACTCAGGACTCCTCGGATAAAGGGAGCCGCCGGCCGCGGGGGGAGCGCTCACGGCGCCTGCGGGTCCCGGCGCGTCTCCTCCCGGCCGCCCCCCGGGACTTACGCGGGACTTCTCGGCCAGCCGCGCGTGCAACGCCCGTTTCCAGATGTTCTTGGCGGAAGCGGCTCGGAGGAGCAGCAGCAGGAGGCACAGACCCCACATGCCCTTCCTCATGCCCTTCCTCCTGCCCATCCCGCGGCTGGAGATGGCGTTTCCTCGCCCAGAGGCTCCGAGAAGAGGGCGCTCTGGCCGGCGGGTCCCGTCAGCGGGGAGCAGAGGCGCGCGCGGCCGCCGACCGTCTCCGCTGCGCTCGGCCGGGTCCCTGGATCATGTGTCCGCGCCGGCACACGCCCCCACCCCCGGCCCCGATGGTGGCCGGCCCACCTGGTTATTTTTAGCTTGCCCTATAACATCTGGCCCCAGAGACTCCAACCAAGACATCTGCAGCCCAGGCTGGTCAGAGGGCGCGGCAGGAGGAGGGGGCACCGGGTGTGCTTGGAGACGTGGCCGGGAGTGGCCCTGCCACACTGGGATAATGAGAGCTTCCTTGCGGGCTGGGGCGGCTCCCCCGGGGGAGGTGTGTGGGCTTCCGGGCCGGGGGTGGGGTGGGGGTGGGGGACTCAGCCCAGCAGGATGGGTGGGGGTGCGCAGCTGCCACCTCATCCACGTTTTGAGCTGGGGTGACAAACTCCGTCTGCCCATAAGAGCTTCTGTGCAAGACATTGCTGCATGGGGCCTGGCTGAGCGTGTGGCCACGGGAAGAGGACTGACGTCCTGGAACCTGCTGTCCTGCGCTGGGACGTGGGCGTGGGGCCAGTTACTCACATCCTGTGTTTCTTGGGAGAGTTCAATGAAATTGGGCACATGAGCATTTCGCAGCCGTCGGAAGTGAGCTGTGAACGTCGGCTCGTGTGTGTGCCGACCAGGATTTCATCAACGTTTTATTCTGTCGCCTGTTCTCAGCACCCACAAGGCGGGGACCGTTTTGACACCCACTTTACGGTGGGGACACAGAGGTACAAGCCTTGCCTGAGGTCAGGTAGCAGGTAGCAGAGCTGGGGCTTGACCCCAGGCCCATCTGAGCATGGTGACACGCTGCCAGGTGAAGCAGAAGGGACCCAAGCTCCAGACGCAGATGTCCTGGGGCCGAGCCCCAGCTCAGCCTCTGCGTCTGAGCCATGCTGGAGGAGCCTCTTTGCTCCTCAGTTCTTCCATCTGGGACCCCACATTTGTGGCCAATTGTTCCAGCAGCAGCAGGACGCTCATACACCCGGAGTGGGATGCAGGCTCCACACAGTCAAGAATCTATGCCTCCCTTGCTGCCTGCTCCCCCGGCCTGGCATGGGGCCTGGCCCTCATGGGCACTCAGTAGGCACTGGCTCGGTGCACAGAGTAGCCTTCATCATCCTGACAGCCCTACGCAGAAGCATCTCTGGTCTATAGGCAAAGAGATGGTCATGAAAGTCAGGCGCAGGTCCCGGAGTCTCCCTTAGTGACTGAGAGCACATCCCTGAGCACGTGGCACTGGGCTTGGCGTGCAGTAGGTCCGCAATATATGTTCTTCAATTGAGATATCAGTTCTGCAGCACTATGGGGACCACAGGGACCCAGGGTGCTGAGCTTGACTGTCAGTTAGTTTCTCGCTAGCGTTGACTTCGAAGATGATGCTCCGAAGTCTTCCGGACAATCGGGGTGCCTGCCCGGGGATGGCAGCCCCGCAGGTTTCCTGTGGGAGGAGAGAGAGCGCCAGGACGAGAAATAAACATGCGACAAATCTGCCTGGAAAACCGGCCGCTCTCCCGTGGCCGGGGATGAGGCAGGATGCCGGCCCCGCAGCCAGGCTGGACGCGCCCAACCGGGCCCAGGGGGCCAGCCGGGGCCTGGGGCTCATCACCATTTGGGGGCCGTGACTCCTCCCAGGTTCTGGCCCAGCCTCAGAACTTCGTGTTCCAGGCGGTGGAGGTACTTCCAGTTCATCTGAGTTCTGGCGACCTGGCCTGGATCCCAGGCTCAGCGGGCTGTCCTCCTGGGACTCACCAACCCGTGAGTGTGACTTCCTGTGGCTCCGGGGGTGAGGTTTCCTCTGGGAAAGCCTTGGAGCTGGCGAGGCCTGCCTGCTGGGGGCTGACAGCAGCTCCCCGCCATTGGCTTCGCTCCCTCCGAAGACGGAAGAAAAGGTCTCCTTTAAAAATGTAAAGGGCACAAGTGCTTAGGGGCCTGACTGGCAGCAGCAGAGGGCCTGGCTCACGTGACAGGGTCTAGGAAGAAATCCTGCCCCTCCAGCTCCCATAATCCCTGAGGCTTCATGCTCCTTCCCCAGGGAGGCAGGACATTTTCTTCCATGGTGATCAGATCAGACAAATAAGCCCTCTAGGAAAGAGGACAGGGTGGCATGAGCTCATACAGGCCTCTACTGCATAATGACTTTTTGATCACAGAACACGTATATGGCGGTGGTCCTATAAGATTAGTACCACATAGTCTAGGGGTGTAGTAGGCTATCCCATCTAGGTTTGTGTAAGTGCACTCTAGGATGCTTGCACAGCAACAAAATCGCCTAATGATGAATTTCTCAGAATGTATCTCTGCCGTTAATTGATGCATGACTGTACTTCATACTAAAGTGTGAATGACTTCTAGCAGAAAGAAACATATAAGCATAAGAAGGAGGAGCAGAGTACATTCATTCATTCAAGGATTTGAATGCCAACTATGTGCCAGGCCTGGGGATACCAGGGAGAGTGAACACAGGCCCAGCCCCTGACCTTCTGGGCTTACCACCAAGTGGAGGAGTCAGATATTAATCAGTGTTTTTAAAAAACACTTAGATGGCACTTTTTGGTGCTGGGCACAGTCTTGAGTGCTTTAAAAATATGTATTCATCTAATCTATCACAACTCTACTAGGTAGGTACCATCGTCATCCCCACTTTACAGATAAGGAAACTGAGTCTCAGAGACACTGACAAGGGAGTGCTTTAAAAATAGTCTCTCATTTAATCTATCACAACTCTGTTTGGTGGGTACTCCCACTGTCCCCATTTTCCAGACGGGAAAACTGAGGGTCGGAGATGCACAACTTGCTCAACCGTATAGACAGTTGGCAGGGCTGGGAGTCAGACAGAGACGTTGGCCTTCAGAGTCTGCGCTCCAAACCGTGGCATCGTGCGCCCCCAGGAGAGCCACCCTGCAGAAGGGCATGGGGTGTGGGGGCTTCTGACCTAGTCACAGGGCCAGCTGAGGTCTCCCTGGGGAAGTGACCGTGCACCCGGGCGCTGAGGATGAGGATGGAAAGAGAAAGGCCTTCAGATCCAGACGGAGCGGGTTAGAACGCACTGCGGTGGGGCAACCAGAGGCGGGTAGAACCACGAGATTTTACGGGTCCTCAAGCCTTTTGCCCTCCTAGGCCCCTTCTGCTATTAAAAAAATATTAACAATGATCTATGACAGCTGCATTGATGAAAAGACAAATATAACCCAAGCTGGATTATATTCTTTTTCTCCCTCTGATTTTAAGAGAAGTTAAGACGCTTTTCTGAGCCCCTAAAAGTCTCGTGGGCCCCAGTCAGTGTGCCTGATGGTGGCCTTACGTCCAAATATCGCTGTGTGACCTCGGGCAAGCCTTTGCACTCTCTGAGCCAGGAGGCCAGGAGGATTAAAGGGACAGCACAGAGGAGGGGCTGTTCTCTCTCTGCAGGCTGCCTGGCCACATCCTTGTCCCCTGCCGGAGCAGGGAGGCCCTCAAGTTGCACAGTTCAGCCTTGAGACTGGCCCGTGCAGCTCTGCTCAAGGCACTGAATGAAAACAGATGTCCCTGGGGCTGCCTCATTCTTGGAGAGCCAGCCCTGACCTCGGTTCACCCCGCCAGCCGCCGTGTGACTGACCTCCATTCCGTGTCCACCCCCTTTAACTCGTAGTGGATGTCCTCCCAGCCAGGGAACTCCCAGCGCCCCTCCCCGAGTGACTCTCCCTCCCCCCAGAGCCCCCGGTCCAGGGCCAGACCCCCCCAACGGCCCCCCACTCCCACCCCTACCCCCACCTGGGGCTCTGGCCAATGTGACCGCCCACGCTTCCTTTCTCGGGTGGGCCTCGCTGCAGGGACTACCGTCCCCATTGGAGCCATCGAAGCCGTGAAGCGGATGGAGCTGGGTCGAAGGTCGGGCTGGAAGCTGGCCGGCTCTCTGGTCCCCCACGCTCAGCCCTCTCCAGCCACCAGCCGGCCATACTGGGCTTCTCTTGTTTTTTCCTGGAGGAACTGGAGGACCTGGACCCTCCCGCAAAGCAGGGTTCAGGGCCCGACTTGGCCGCTGTTTCTTTCTCCCCACAAAGCCAATCTGATTATGCACTCCGTCCTCGGCCCGCCTCCTGAGCTGCACACCTCACGTGGCCCCCTCAGGACGGGGATAAAAGCGCTCAACCCCGAGGCCTGCCCGGTCTAGCCAACCTTCCTCAGCCTGGCTGCGCATGAGCATCACCCGTGGGAGGGGTTTCAACAACATGCCTCCGGGCTCCAGCCCACACCAAGCGAATCTGAACCCGGATCAGTGAGGTCAGAACTGGTCGTTCCCAAAGGTCCCCAGCTGATTCTAATGAGCCGCCAGGCCAGGAGCCCTGACAATTTGGCCTGTCCCCCACTGGCCCCACCCCTGACCTCCGACCTCCAGGCCACATGTCCCTCCACGCTCCCTTCTGCAGCCAGCTGGCCTCTCCCACATGCATCCTTTGCATATGCTGTTCCCTCTCCCCGACACTCTTCCCTGTGTTCTTTGCTGAGTAAACTTAAGGCATCTTCGTAGCTCAGCTCTTGGTGAAACAGTCACTTGCTTCTCCCAGAAACGTTCGCTCATCTCCAGACCAGTCTGGTGGCCCTAGAATAGGCCTTCCTGACTCCAGGTACCTCCGATGCACAGGACCCGCTCAACCCAATGTGGGAGGGACATTTCCTTGTGACAATGCCTGACTCTCCCAGTCTATAGTAAGTACCCTAAGGGTGGGGATTGTGTCTTCATTACTTTCGGTTTTTCCTTTCTCACCTACTATGTGCCTGGCACACAGTAGGAGCACAGTGAATAGTCATTCAGTGATTACATGGATGCTCCCGCACTCCCCACCCAGGGCTCCTGCCAGATGACTTTGCTGGGCCTTCCTAATGCCAGCCAGTGATCCTGGAGTCACCTGCTGCCTGGCACCAAGCCCCCTGTCCTGGTTGGGTTGACGTGAGCCCCCACAGCAGCGCCTGCCCCCGGATGGCGTCATCCCACAGCCACACCTGTGCTAGACAGCATCCTGGGAGCTGGGGACGCACCATGCCTCTGTGTGCCAGCACACAGTACCCAAGGGCTTCTCTCCCGCACCCTTGGCCTTAGGGCTGGGTACCCTCTGCCGGGGGCTGCCCTGCGCACTGCAGGGTGTTCAGCAGCGTCCATGCTCCCCACTCACTAGGTGCCAGTAGCATTCTCCCACGCTCCCCCCACCAGTTATGACAACCAAGGATGTCTCCAGACATTACCAAATGTCCCCT